GAAAACCCCTGTTCTAAACCATAATAAATCTAGGACTAGGGTAGCCCAGCTCCTTACATACCAGGTCCACATACCCAATATTTTACTTGCATGACAAATTATTTTTACCCCCCCCCCCTCTCTTAAAGTTACGATACTAGGTTCAACCATCTCATGAACCAGCATTTCATATTAAGATGTGGAAGGAGGATGTCTGATTTCCTACAGCTAGAATTATGCATTAAGAAATTACATGCTGTTCCCCGTTGCTTAGATTCAGTTCCAGTAAAGCTCCTCCACACCCCTCCTTTCAAGCATTTCAGTTTGCTTCTTAGGAGTCCTGAGGGAATTCTGTGCCAAAAAATAAAATCTGCAAATTTTATTTGTCAATAAATAAATGCGAAGGCTCCAGCATGGCAATGGGGAGTACAGGCCACTGACTACAGAGGTGTGAGATCACCTTGTGCCCCCCCCCCCCGCCAATCTAGATATAGACTCAGCGCTAAAGTTGCACCCAACCCAGACACAGCACAAGGACCAGGCCTGTCCCAGAAACACCCTGGGGCCCTGCCCTTCTATGCCAAGCATACTAGATGTAGGCAGGCAGGTTCAGCCCAGCAGGATCCAAGTGTGAAGGGGCTTAGTGTGGGGAGATCCAGGTGTGGGGTGATAGGGTTCTGTGTGGGGCAATCTGGGTGCGGGCAGCTTGGTGGGGGGAGGTGTGACAGGTTGGATCACAGAAACCCCCTTGGGAATGGCCTACTGATGTGCCAAGACTACTTCTGCCCCTGCTTTCCTGCCCCATCAGCTTAGGACTTCAGTGCCCTGCCTGGTTGGAGCCAGACCCGCTAGCCTGGTGCAAACCCAGACCCAGGGTCTGAACCACATCCTCTAACAGCTGTAGGCTTAACTGAAAGCAACTTACAGAAATGTTCCTGTCTTTAACACTCAGATGTCCATTGGTTAAAGAAACCAATGGGGTCCAAACCCCAAATAAATCCATTTTACCCTGTATAAAGCTTATACAGGGCAAACTCATAAATTGTTTGCCCTCTATAACACTGAGAGAGAGATATGCACAGCTGTTTGCCCCCCCGTATTAATACATACTCAGAGTTAATTAACAAGTAAAAAGTGATTTTATTAAATACAGAAAGTAGGATTTAAATGGTTCCAAGTAGTAGCAGACAGAACAAAGTGAATTACCAGGTGAAATAAAACACGCTAATCTAAGACTAATTCAGTAATACAACTGAGTACAGATAAAATCTCACCCTGAGAGATGTTTCAATAAGTCTCTTTCACAGACTGGACACCTTCCTAGTCTGGCACAGTCCTTTCCCCGGGTACAGCCCTTGTTCCAGCTCAGGTGGAAGCTAGGGGATTCCTCATGATGGCTGCTCCCTTTGTTCTGTTCCACCCATTTGTATATCTTTTGCATAAGGCGGGAATCCTTTGTCCCTCTCTGGGTTCCCACCCCCTCCTTCTCAACGGAAAAGCACCAGGTTAAAGATGGATTCCAGTTCAGGTGACATGATCACATGTCACTGTAAGACTTCATTACCCACTTGCCAGCACACTTGTATACAGGGAGACTTACAAGTAAAACAGAGCCATCTGCAGACAATTGTCCCGGTTAATGGGAGTCATCAAGATTCCAAACCACCATTAATGGCCCACGCTTTGCATAATTACAATAGGCCCTCAGAATTATATTTCATATTTCTAGTTTCATATACAAGAGTGATACATTTATACAAATAGGATGACCACACTCAGTAGATTATAAGCTTTGTAATGATACCTTACAAGAGACCTTTTGCATGAAGCATATTCTAGTTAAATCATATTTAAACTCATTAGCATATTTTCATAAAATCATATAGAGTACAACATCACAGGAGGATCTGGATGAACAGGGGTGCAGACATAATGTGACTCTGCAGGGAAGTCCAGGTGAATGTGGTTGGGGCTCAGCTGGGGGGGGTCTGGTTGTGCAATGCTCAGCAGGAGGGGTCCAGGGGCTTGTTGGGTGGGGATCTGGGTGTGGTGAGCTAGTCAGGGTGGTCCAGGTGCAGGTGGGGTGAGGTTTGTTGGGGTGGGGGGTTGAGTGTGGGGGGGTGGTCTCAGTGCAGGGGTGGGGTCCAGATGCAGGGAGGTGGGGCTTGTTGTGGGGGTCTGGCTGCAGTGGGACTCCAGATGCAGAGAGTGAGGCTTGTTAAGGTGTGTGTTCAGGTTCTGGGTGCAGCAGGTGAGGCTTGGTAGGGTGATCTGGCTATGAGATGGGTCCAGATGCGTGGGGGTTGGGAGGATGGGTGAGCAGCTCTCTGTACACTGGTCCCTTCCTCCCCACAGCTGAGGAGCAATAGGGGCAGGAAGTGGGGGGATGATGCAGAGCTTCCTGCAATCAGAGAGGTTTCTGGGGGTGGGTCTGACCCAGCCCTGGCTGCTTCTTGCAGGGGAAGAGGAAGTCCTGTCCTCCCCAGCCCAGCCAGGATTAGCAGCCTAGCCTAGCATAGGCTAGGAGCTACTGGCTGGGGCAGCCCCAGCTCCACCCCCAGTGATTTACCTCTCCACTAGCTGCTCCTGGCACGCAAAACAATGCACTCGCACTGCTGGGGAGCAGTGCATGACCATTCTTGCAACTTCCCCATCAGAAAGTCATTTTTCTGCAAAGAAAGCTGCAGGGGATATGAATTCTGTGCACATACAGTTGCGCAGAATTCTCCCAGGAGTATCAGTTCTTGAGAGGAGAATAAGATGTCTTTTGGAGCTATGAGGGAACAGTTAAGTTCATGTCCGTCTAAGGGATAACATTTATCAATGCAATCAAGATGAATTGTTTTTCCAACATTTTTTCATGCAAACTTTTTTTTTGTAATAGAAAAGGCATAATTGGACACTGCAGGGAAATAAGAGCAGCTGCCAGTTAGTACTATTTTAATCAAGATTTGAAAGCTGTGATTTTAATGCAGCTACTGCACAATAAAAAAGAACCTGCTGTAAATGAAGTGTATCTACTAGATTAATGGATTGGTTAGTATGATACTACACAAGTGCTAGGACAGTGTGGTGGCACCTTGAATAATCACACCACCACTTCCTTCCACCAAGCTGAGTTTACAGAAATACCGTTAGAGGTTGGGCACTACAAAATTCTGAGGGGTTGATCTAGGAGCAAAGTTCCATGGTTGAATGGCTACTCCATACTAGTGGAGTGGATCATTAAAAGGGAAAGATTCACTAGTGATACCCAAGTGACCATATTTGTATTTCCAGCTCTATCAGATTTAGCACAATTTCAGTTGTCATTTAGTTTCTTTATGTCTGTTACAACCCCTTCCTCCATCTAAAAATGGGGATATTTCCCTACCTCAGAAAGGAACTATAAAACTTGATTCATTAGTCTTAGAAAAACACTTAAGTTCCTTGATAGAAAAAGGCAACCAAATATTTTGGTAGGGTTAATCCTATTATGTGACAATACAGATGTTTGATACAGAGAATGCCTTACTATCCCCAAATTAGTTTATAACAGGTCAGACTATTTGATTTATTCTCTACCCCAGCCATTAAACTAATGCATAGAACTACATATTTCAGGATTGCTTTTCCTCCATAATATAATATTCAATTCTAATTGACAGGGATGAGATAGCCTCTTTGTTTATAGTACTACAATTCACAAAGGTAGGAAGTCAGTAGTTTTAATATTGATGCTAAACAGCTTGCTGGAGTTTATTTAAAATAAATAAGCACATTGTCACGTGTAACATTTTCTATTACTATATTGGATTTTCATCAACAGGTGTCCTTCAACCAGACACAAAAACAAGGTTAGTATCATGGAGGGGGAACATCCACCACAGAAACAACATCAAAATATGCTATATAGCATGAGAGGGGAGTTAAAGGGTTTTTGATATTACGTAGGTAATCTGTACAACTCAAAAGCATTAAAGACAGTAATTAAATACACAATGTAAGAATTGCTGCAAGAGGAGTTTAAGTAAATGAAGTGAATTATTTTAATCACATAACAAGAATTAAATGAATTTCCAGTGTTCCACAATTACATTAGTAATTAGATTCACATTCTTGTAAAACAAAAATCCTCCTCCCCACTGCCAAATTATTCCAGGGTTCAAGACATGGATATTTCAGCGGTTGACCAAATAGAACTCAAAAATGTCTGCAGAGAAGTGAGTGTGCTTCTCCTATTTCAGTTTATACCATTTAAAATTTAAAAAAAAAAATCAAGGTCCAGATCCCAGTAAAAACTGCACATGTGGGTCGCTGTACCAGCAGTGAAGTCAAGAGGAGGCCAATGAGTCTCTCTGCTCAGTGCTCTTTGCCAGATCTAGTCATAAATTAGTATCTTGCTCTTCATTTTACATGAAGTCAAAAAACAGAAAATTTAATAGGAAGCAGTTTAACTTTTATTACATTTCCAGAAGCCAGAAAGTTTTATCCTATGAAAATAATTTATTGGATGTACAAAACTACATTAAAAAACTAAAGTGCTTTATTGACTGGCTTCACCAGAATATTTCTGGAATGTTAAGAAAGTAGTTGAAGTGAAAGGGAAATCACAGATTGCTAAATCCCAGTTAAA